GGACTCCAGCTTAACGCCTCCAAGTGCCACTTCGACCGTCGTCAAATTTCCGTGCTCGGTCACCTTGTCGATGCCCAAGGCGTGCGTCCAGATCCAGAAAAAATTCGCGCAGTCACGAACTTTCCCGTTCCGAGGACAACAAAGGATGTGCGCAGTTCTGTGGGGTTGTGATAATATTTCTGACGCTTTGTTAAGGACTTTGCGACCATCGCACGCCCCCTCACAGACCTCTTGAAGAAAGACGCCTCGTTTATCTGGGGCCATGACCAAGCGTTATCGTTTTCCCGACTTACGACAATGCTTACAATGCCACCAATCTTGGCTCACTTTGATCCATTAGCCCCAACTGAGGTTCACATGGACGCCATTGGACACGGCATAGCTGTGCTATGGCAGCAACAACGGGGACACGACCGTGTTATAGCCTACGCAAGTCGACTGCTATCTCCAATCGAGCACAACTATTCCATCACGGAGCGCGAGTGCCTCACCCTTGTATGGGCAGTCGCCAAGTTTCGTCCATACCTGTATGGACGCCCATTCCATGTTGTCACGGATCATCACGCGCTCTGCTGGCTAGCCTCCCTGAAGGATCACACAGGAACGTCTCGCTCGTTGGGCCCTACGCCTTCAAAGATACGCGTTCTCTGTACCGTATAAAACAGGGCGATTACATCAAGATGCGGATTGTTTATCCCGCTACCCTGTTGACGAAGCAACCAATACTGACACTATCACGGACGTTTTTTCCCTGTCGCAGCTGTTGAACATTAGCGAAGAGCATTGTCGGGATGCTTCTTTACGAGCCATGATTGACAAACTGGAGTCAACGCCTCGCGACCCATCTCTATGAATGTTTTTGGTGAAAGACGGGATCCCATATCGCCGTAACCTTGATTCCTTCGGATCAGACTTACTTCCTGTCATCCTAGCGCACCTGCATTCCATTGTCCTGCATCAACTTCTTGACGCTTCCCATGACGGGCCGTTTCTTGGACATACGTTGGGCGTTTCTCGCACATACGACGTCGGTTTTTTTGGCCTGGACTTGCCCGCTCTCTTCGACGGTATGTATGTCGCCGCTTGTGAGCCCTGTCAGCGTCGCAAAACGCCGTCTGCCCTCCCGGTCGGCTACCATCAGCCGATCGACGTTCCCACTGAACCTTTCTTCGAGTTGGTCTCGACCTGTTGGGCCCTTTTTCACTTTCCACAGCCGAAAATAAATGGATTGCTGTTGCCACAGACTACGCGACGTAGTACGCAATCACACGAGCACTCCCGACCATGCAGTTGCGCTACCGAAGTTCCGGACTCTGCTGGATGACATAGTATTAGTGCACGGTGCTCCCCGCCAACTTCTCACCGACCGTGGCCGCACATTCTTATCAGCTGTCGTTCATGAAGTCCTGAGGTATTGAAATACCAAGCATAAATTTACTACTTCGTACCATCCCCAGTGAAATGGCCTCACGGAGCGCCTCAACAGGACCCTGACCGATATGCTTGCCGAATACGTTGCGCCAGAACCCCAGGATTGGGACATTAATTTGCCGTATGTGACATTCGGCTGTAATTCATCTCGTCACAACACTGCCGGCTATTCGCCCTTCTATCTCCTATATGGCCGGGACCCAACTCTACCCTTAGACACTTTGCTACCTGCGGCCACTGAATACGCCGGGGAAGGCATTGGCCGCGCCGACCCCACGCACCAAGTCGCCCGTAACCGTCTACAGGCTTCGCAGGCGCACCAACAGCTCTACAACTCTCCCCATAGGGACTGTGCATTTTTTCCCGGGTTCTCTCGTGGTCATCTGGTCACCTACTCGGCGTGTGAGACTGTCTGAAAAACTGTTGTCGCCCTACACTGGACCATTCCGTATCGTTCGCCAAGTGACAGACGTCACATACGAGATTGTTCCAACCGATCCAAAAGTCATCGTCAGCTCCGAGTGACACCATTCACGTGGCTCGGCTAAAGCCCTATTACCCCTTTTCGACATCATCTGCGCAGATTTAGCACTGGACGGTGCTTCTACCGCCGGGGGTTATGATACATAACAGCCGCTAAACACGGCTGCATGAAAGAGAAGGACGAAGTGAGTTTCAATTGATGCTGGACTGGCGCCATCTTGCTCGTTGAGTTCTGTGCGTTCTAAATACATTATTAAAGAAGTTACTCGTAACAATATTGCCAAGCCTCATGTCACCAAATGACATACTTGGCCCCGCAGGCGTCCGCGACTGAGAGCGGACAAGCTTTTCTGGGGAAACATCTTCTTGACACCAGTTTTTTTGTTTACTTGTCGAGGTGCCCAGCTTCACCCTGAACCGCGACAGTCTGTGCAAGGAAGGAGAGAATAAGGTTGTTTAACATGACAGCAAGCATCTCGAACACACATTTAGCAAAGGTGTTGAAAAGCTCTTCCATAATCATTGAAATGGCTTTATCCATCGCTGCCGACACTGCGGAAGCGACCGTCGCTTCAATGAACTATCACTGGCGTGACGTAGCAGCGGCATACACCATTTCGTGCTCTTTCATGAAAGAAATTGCCTCAGATCAAGAACAAGGGCGTTTCTCCACAATATACAGAATTTGCGTTTCCCGTTCATGAGCAGGGCAGCTATTGTCCTAGGCTGTGTGTGCTTCGTCACATAGGCAGCACCTGCAGTTGTCTACCGGACATTTTGATGTGGCATGTGACCCACCACATTTCGGACATCTCAATGAGGACCTGCGAGTATTTGTGCTATGCCAAAACTTGCCAGCAGATACGGCACTGCAGTGGGTGAGGTGTCTATGCTTCTGGAGTAGATAAGGCCAGATCTTCAGCTCAGAGGGGCGAGTGAGACCGGCAAAAGTAACGATGGCGCTTTCAGTAGGTACTCGCGTATCACTTACTGGTCTGGTGCGTCTGTAGACAAATACCACGCCAGCCGGAGCGAGCATCTTTACGAAGTTTTCAGGGCTTGTGTTTGTAGAAACACCGCGAACAATGCCCTTCATGCAAGCATGATGAGGGGGATAAAAGCTCGAATAGTAATGAACGCAAATCTGATGGCAAATAATGCCGTTGAGCATTTATTATTTGAAGACCTGCATAGTATACCAGTCTTACCGAAGCGCCTCACCTCCGAGATGTCCAGAAAAATGCCCGGTTATGCTGCGAATCTCTTCTTGAAACATCTCGGTTTCACTCGACCGAATGGCTCCACCATGAGTGAGCACAAGCGTGACAGGCAAACTGCTTAAGCCGTTCTTGAGGAAACACTCCAGTGGTACCGATTCAGCAGTGCGACTGGCCCAACAGGGCGAGCCCTGGCCTGGAACCGGAGACCGGCATTGATGGCTCTTGAAAAATTCGGCAAAAAGAAATTTTACAGCAGAAAAGGAACCAAAGGTGATAAGTGTGGCCAATCCTCTATCACAGAACGAGCTATTAAAAACCGCGAAAAAAGCTTCTTCCGATGGCGTTCCCAACCGCGCGTTTGCAGATACTTGTTCTCCGACACTTCTCGGCTCGAGGACACATTTCCTGAGAGTGGACTTGTTCACCCCAAGCTTTCTACCATTTATTAGAATTGCTTTGTCCTTTGCGGCAAAACAAGGTTTTATCAAGGTTTGAAAGAATTTTCACGCGTGCTTCGTTGTGCGTTCTGCAGAAGGTAGCGAAGTGAATGGCGATGAAAATCTTCGCTCGAGGCAAAAGTAATGTTTCACGCCGACACTGTGATCTCTGGGTCAATTTTCGGCCTTGCTGCCTCACGCCCATGAACATGCTTTTAAAATGGTAAATAAATTGTCATCGAGTTAAAAAAGCCTGCTAACAAAGCGCTTGTTTTCTGAAATGACTTGACAACTTTCTTTATCGCTGTGTCGAAAGTGATAAAGCTCTGTTCAAAAACCGTGGATAATACACGAGTTTCCTTAACAAAATAGCGTAATCAAAGTGTCAAGTAAATTATCGCCAACGATTACGACACTCCCTGAAGCGAAGTTTTAGTGCAGCTGTTAGGATCCTTCAAGATTACGCCTGTCCCTGAAATGGTTTGCGTATGCGTTTCAATACACTATGAATAAAATAAACCAACATCAATGATTCTACTTATTCTCTACCATTCCATGGTGATCTAGTGGCTAACCCACTCGACTGCTGACCCGCAGTTCGCGGGATCGAATCCCGGCTGCAGTGGCTGCATTTTCGTTGGAGGCGGAAAGGCTGTAGGCCCATGTGCTCAGATTGGGGTGCACGTTGAAGAACTCCATGTGGTCAAAAGTTTCATAGTCCTCCACATCACGTCTCTCATAATCATATAGTGGTTTCTGCACGTTAAATGCTACATATAAATCAATAAATCTACTTTTTCTCTGGTAACTCTGAAAAGGTTTTCAAACATTATATTTATACATCGTAAATATTCGGAAGTTTCATGGGTGTCTTCCGAAACTTTCGTTTTGAGAAATCCTAGAAATGACGTGTGTTTGTTCGCACGCAGGTAACGTCACACACGTAATCATACTTACTGGAAACAGAGGTGGCGTAACATTCCTGTATCACTCGAATGCCGAGCAGGCGTGCTATCACGCGAGTAAACGAGCAAGAAGCTGGCGCGTTAACTTTTTTGCCCAATGTATTCATCAAATTTGATACTAGCCCAGTCCACCACCATGGTTAACGATTTTATGCTGCTGTTCCTTCCACGACAACTGTAGCCAAGTTTGCCAGCACTAAATGCGTAATAAAAACTGTGTGCTCAGACAGCATTATCATTTAATCGAGCTCTAAAAGTGCATAGGAGGCCAAGAGAGCCAAAGTCGTGCGTTGCGTTGGCCTGCGCACGATCATTGTAGCCTTAGATAAGTGCGCAATAATTATGTACCTTTTGAATGTTTCAGCTGGAAAACACGTAAGCAAACACAGCAGAAAGCGTCTTTTAATGTGACGACTGACGGCAGCTGTGACTAACAACGTGTGGTCTTGCTCTGTTATGGACAGGTGGCCCTGGCCAGCTTCGCAGTCTTCATCGCCATCGACACAAACAACATTCTGGACGCCAACAAGGCATTCGTGTCCCTCTCGCTGTTCAACATTCTCCGCGTGCCCATGGCCTTTCTGCCGATGCTCATCACCTTCACTGCCATGGCAAGTGTCTTGAACCTCCTAGTCGCGTTTCCCTTTCGTCCAACTTAACTTTTTAGAAGGGGTCTTTCAAGGCTGGTAACTGACTTGTTCAGTAATACTTTGCACCTGTTATAAACAGCTAAGACAACGAAGTGATTGTCATTCAGCCTCTTTCATTTCGCGAAGCTTTCTTGAAACATGGGAACCGTTGTAGTGAGAGCAGATAATCAAACAGTGGGATCATAATATCGGCAACAGAGGACTATGGGGCAATGTTCGTTACCACGATAACACAGACTTGTATACAGTTTCGGGAAAAGTGGGTGCACATTGTGCAGTAATTAATCAGGCAAAATCTTTCTTTCAAGAAGTTTATTTCTCTCTCTGTTAGTAGAAGAGAAGGTGAACTTGCACTATCGTCACATTAGTTACAAATCCACAAGGCATCTGAACTTTGTTTCCTTCCCGAAATTTTTTGTTCTAACCTGTTTTTTTGACATGGGACACATGCGCACTTCTTCGGATGGTTAATAGCTGCTCGGGATAATTCAGCTACGACCTGCGTCACAACCGACGTGCTATTAACGGCAAATTTCACGTATGGTATCGAGCCAGTTGGCATTTCTGCCAGAATGAGTGCAGGCGTCTTTCTTTAAGGTCGTCAGCTCCCACCACGCTTTGCTACCATCCGGTTTTATATCCTTGGCGCGTTCACCGTCCGCTTTGTGGAGGCTACGACGACCTAACGTGTGCCTTGCCGCCTCAGGAATAAGAAATAGAAAAGTCCTTTCTACCTTGGCCTTGAAGCAAGCAACTCTGGATTGTTTACACATCTTCTACACTGACAGAATCCCCGTATACTCGGATGGATCTACCGCCCAGACTAGCTCAACCGCCGCCGCCATCATTCCATTGCGACACATCCTCACTCACAAACTTTGGCACGTGAGCACATCGAATGGTTCGGAAATTGTTGCCCTGTGAGGTGCCATCCATTATTTCAAGCAACAACTGGCTAATCGATGGGCAGTATTCTGCGACTTCAAGGCAGCTCTACGATGTCTTTCATCGGCACTTCGTCGCGGGTCGTACGAACAACTGGTGTAAGAGATCAGAGAAATGCTGCACTGTGCGACCGAACAAGGACACAACGTTTTGTTCCAGTGGATACAAAGTCATTGCGGTATCTCCGGTAACGACCTCGCCGCTGAAGCAGCCAGAAGTGCACACGTACAAAAAAAAACTCCATTTCAATACTTTTGTCTAGGATTGACGCGGCTAGATACCTAAGTAAGCTGCCGCAGAACATGACACTCCAGAAGTGACAGTCATCAAAGTTCGCACATCGACTGTATTCTCTCAGCCTATCCCTGACTGCAGCTATCCTCTGGTCTTTCCAAGGTGGAATGTACGGTATTGTGCCGTCGGCGTCTGGGCGTAGCCTTCACTAATGCCTACTCATTTAAGATAGGGATGGCTGACAGCGCGGAGTGGAACGACTGCGCCTTCAATGAGACTATTGAATGTGTCTTATGTTACTGCCCGACATACACAAACGAGAGGCTTCACCTGCGCGGTGTTCTAAGTCACCTGGACAAAGTGATTTCACTGTCGAGAAAGTATTGGGACCATAACACTGCCAATCTCAATTCCGAAAGGCAACGAAAGCGCTGTTGGATTTTCTCAAAGACGGTGATCTATTTCACCGTTTATGATGTGAGACTCTTACGCATCGGCTCCGTCAGTGACTTTTTGCTTCTCCTCTATAACTTTCCTTCCCCCTCTCTGCTTCCCCAGTCCAGGGTAGCCTACCGGGGCTCAGCCTTGGTTAACCTCCCTGCCTTTCTCCTTATTTCTCTTTCTCTCTCTAGTTTTTAGAAACATCTTTTGGTAAAAACATCATTGCGTGGAACGCATTTTCTTCACATGTTTCCGTGGAATGCCATGTTAATCCATTTCAAAAGGATATTGTGTGCGCGACAGTTTTTTGTCTTTATTATGCAGTGCTGGTCATTTCTAAGCTTAGAAATGTCTCTTCACAGGTTACTTCTTGCTTTCGTTGTCTATTTCATAGCACAAAAACAAATTATAATGATGATGATGTTCTTTTTGCATTGGTGGCACTCGCCCACTGAGAGGGATCGGCCAAGAACCGGGTGCCGGGATCTTTGAGTTAGTTGGTTATTTATTTCAAAGCATGGAGTTTCAGTAAAACCCAAAGTCGTAAATGTTGTATGAAAACGCTACACAAGCTGGCGGTCAGGCAATCGAATATTCTCGGAACAAAATAAAATAATAGCATCAATAGACTAACACGTAATCTTTTGTTCCCATTATGTACGCACACAGAACAGAGCGAACCTCCCTGCGGCTCTCCTGTAATGTTATCCCTCGAAAGGGTAAAATTACTGCCACCTTTATTTCCACGCCTACCTTCTCAATTCGGCCAACAAGGCATCTTTATCTTTGATAAGAATATCGGTAACAGAATAAAAAAAGAAGATCTATTGCTTCTATATACTTGCAAAAGAGACATAGTGGGGACGCTGCGAGTCCTGCTTTATTAAGGTAATAATTGAGGTGTAGAATTCTGCAGGGTAGACTAGTGATTGTAATATCTAACTGCCTAGATATGCACCACTGTTTATTCGTGCGTAACCTTATGTGTACGAAAGGTCTGACCATATTTGTCTATTTTCTTGTGCAAACAAGCATTTCTATATCTGGGTGCTTTTACGTAAGAAAAACTGGTAAAATGAGGAAGAGTGGTTCGTTCAAAGATGCTCTGTCTAACAAGTCTGTCATTTCATTTAAGTGACTCCCGCAGTTGCCAGGTATTCACACCAAGGGGAATTTTTTCAAGTTTGCTGGTAAAAAATGTACGTGGACGTGAGGCAGGGTTGGAGGGAGACGAGGAGGAAGAAGGAGTTAGAAATAAAGAAGATGGCTGACACCCCAGCCTAGTACTGTGTACTATTACAAATTGGCGCAGCCGCGTATACTTTCTGTGCGGACATTCAAGATGTGGGTGGACTTCACCATTGGAACAAATCAACGCGGTGGCATCCGGATCTTGACCGCAACGCCTCAAGATGAAGAGAAACTAGCTCTGCCGGAAGCAGTAAGCACTGACGCATTTGTTTCCTATATAAGCACTAAAATGAAGCTCACTCCAGACCATTTACTTGCTAAAAGAACTGTGAGGATCAACATGAAACTTCAGGATTATGAAAATTTCATGCTGACTCCAGCTAGAAACGACGCGAAGCCTGCTACCGCTGCTTCGCCCGACAGTTCCATCGAGCTGATAAACAAGTTTCTTGAACTGCACCAAGAACAAAATAGGCAGCAAAATGATTTATTGCGCTTGCTTGTAAACGCGACGGAAAAATTAAGCAGACCGAGTCACAAACAAGTTAAGCCAGACATGTTTGATGGAGAGTCCAGTAGTCCCGAGTCCTGGCTCACGTTTTACGAGTATGCATGCAATGAAAACTACTGGCACAGCGACGAAGATAAAGTGAAAAACATGCGACTATTCCTATCGGGCATAGCAAAGAGTTGGTACGAATGGCGTCTCAACGCTCACAGCAACAAACCATGGACAGAGTGGAAAGCAAGCTTTCTGAGCTCCTTCAGCGAGAACAAGGTGTTGCTATGGGACAAAGCAATCACGTTCGAATACAGGTCTGGATCTGCACTCAGCTATTTTTATGAGAAAAGGCGCTTGCTACAGCTGGCGGACTCATCTTTGCCTGAGACGTCTGTGGTTCCGCTTATCATTCATGGTTTAAGTCCGGACCTCCAGAAGCAAATACAAATGCGAGGACCCAAGACGGTCGAAGAACTTCTGCAGGGAATGCGAAACCTCTACTTCCAGGACCTAGGAACCCAGCGTCAACCCATGACACCTGCTGCAAGGAATACCGGGGCCACACCAGCTGAGGAACGACGCCCGCTTGCAAGCTGGAAACCTACTGCAACACCCATATCCTTTGTCAATGCAACATTGTTGTGGGAGGGAACTGAAGAACTCAAGTTCCATAACGGAAAGTTCACAGTCCCAGAAACAATGGTGCCTCGAATTTTGGAGCTCTATCACGACTCCCCGCACTCAGGTGGACATGATGGCTTTTGGAGGACATATTACAAGATTCGTCAGCGTTTCCAGTGGAAACACATGAAAGAGGACGTGCAACGGTATGCTCAGTCTTGTCATCAATGTCAAGTTCACAAAGCCAAGTACCTTCAGAGAACAGACGAGATGGTTTTGCCTCAACATTCCGACGTACCATTTGAAGTAATTCATCTGAATTTCGCAGAGCTCAAGAATAAGGCTGCAGGAGTAAGAAGAACGCAGTCTTTTCTAGTGGCAGTAGACCAGTGCACAAGAATAGTGGCTGCACGGCCGGGAAGGGAAGACGCAAATAATGTGATCGCTCTTTTGAGTCGAGAGATGTTCAAGAATACAAAAATAGTAATATCAGACAATGGGCCAGCGTTTCTCAGTCAGCGTTTGCAAGATTGGGCGAAGGAACGAGGAGTTGTATTGCGACGCTGTGCTCCGTACCATCCTGCAGGAAATGGTATGGCTGAAAGAATCATTCGGGATTTGAAGCAGTTCATTTCAATGTATCCAGGTTTTCAGGGTGGATGGAAGTGCTGCTTGGAGGCAGCTGTCGCTCATCACAATCGGTCGCACACTGCGAGCATCGGCTGTAGTCCATATTTTGCAGCTTTCGGAAAAGTACCAGTGCTTCCTGCTGATCAAGAACTTTGCATTGCAGACCGCCTGCAATTGTGCGAAAAACGAAAACATTCGGAAGCCTACCTGCGATACCGGCAAAGTATGAAGAGGAACTATGACCGTCGCCACAACACGCGGATACCTCAGATACAACTGAACGATCTGGTGCTTGTCAGAAAAGGCCTTCCCGGCACAAAGCAGGTGTCATCATCATCATCATCATCAGCCTGACTACGTCCACTGCAGGACAAAGGCCTCTCCCATGTTCCGCCAG